TTGTCCAGACGGCGGTTGGAATCCACCAGGACCTCCTGGTCCGTACATGCCATTCCCTCCACTTGGCTGGTAAGGCATGTTAGGATAAGGCCCAGAAGGAGCTCCAGGACCTGAAGGAAAGGGTCCAGCCGGATAAGATCCAGGGCATCCAGGTAGCTGTCCCGGAGCACCTTCAGATGGGTACTGCCCTGGGAACTGGCCAGGGGCTCCTGGGCTGGATGGGAACTGTCCTGGAGCTCCTGGTGCAGGTGGAAAATGTCCAGGTACCCCATGACCAGGGGGAAAACCACCAGGTGCTGTTGGAGGTCCTGGGTACTGCCCTGGTGCTCCAGGACCAGAGGGGAATGGGAACTGTCCCGGTGCTCCAGGGCCTGATGTTCCTCCAGGAAAGCCACCTGGAGCTGAGGGCTGGGTGGGAGCTCCAGGGGCAGAACCAGGCCATCCTGGGTTTGAAGGCGCAGGGTTGCTGGCGGGGATAGTAGGGTTGGTGTTGCCTATTTTCTTTGCCTGACTAGAAGAGTCATCTCCTAAAGCATCTGCTAGCTGGAGTAGAAGAAGGAGAAACATGAAAATATTTTTTTTCTTTGTATAGCCTGTGGTTACATACATTCCATAAAAAAGTTTACACATTACAGTAAAAATTGTTGGGTTTTCTTTTTGCAAAAATAAAGACAAAGATATTTGATGTCAAACTGTTTTCATGAGACTTTTAATGCATACCATTAGTCTCTGAGAAAAATAGCAACAAACTAATGCTGAATAGTAAACACAGTACACACGCCACAAAACTCTACTAAAGGTCAGCTGTTGTCATGAGATTTTATTTTAATTTACTAGGTGGGATCATACGACAGAAGCTAGCAGGCCTACAAACACAGTGAACACCAGCCACTTAATGATATCCATATCCAATTAAAATGCTAGTAGTGGTGGTATCACTGTTTCAAAAGCAACCACAAAGGATACCGAAAGAACATTAAATGTACAGGTTAAAGATGACATCAGTGTCATTTTTTAAAATTAAATATGTTTTTTTTTTTTCATTAATGACAAATAATATTTTTAGTAGTGTGTGAAAAACTTTTTAAATCCAATGTTTGTCTTTTACCCCTGGCCACAAATGAACAAGACATGAATAAAGAACTCACCGAGAAATCTGCCATGATCTACAACAAAAACAAAAGACATTTTCATTAGTAGTGTGGCTTGTTATAACGAACATCTCTACCATCCAGTGAAGCACTGGGAGGCTCCACTTAGCACTGCACTGTGACTATGAGTAAGAGAAGGGTCAATGTTTCCATTTCACAACTGCTTATTAACTAAATCCATTTAGTCAGATTCAAAACAGCTACACCATTGTTATAGCAACACATACAGTATGTCTACACAGAGCACATTAATATTTAATCATGTTAAATGTCTTTTAGTACGCAGTGAACTATTGTATCACAGTTGGCTACCGATGAAGCTAACAGCTAATTAGTACTCTCTAAGTGTGAACAGTTAATGTTGTGGTTGTTTATTTTTAGCTTATATGTGTTCAGAAGGGAATAACGAGAATAATAACTAGAGTTATTTTACTTTACCTCGCCAGAAGATGGACTCCCGTCGGTGATTTTATCAGGGAGAGGAGGTGGTTTACACTGCAGTTGCTCGTACTGAGCCAGTTAGTTAGCCCACTGCTAATGTAGCCTTCTGACAGCTAGGACTACAACTACTACAGAGGCGGGGATGGTGACGTCATCCGAGGAAGCATGAGAAAGAAGAGGTTTATGCGTCCTTTTCTTTTATTTACATTTTTAAATAGTTAAAGAACTCAAAATACATCGTATTTCTACTGCATAAAAAACAAAACTGGTCAATAGAGTGTTTATTTTTTAATCTCTCGGACTTCTTCGATTGGAGGTAGATAAAGACTGCTGACAGGCCAGTCAAGCAATGCAGCTTTTTGTCGCAGTTTGTTTAGAATACAACATGGCAATGACGTGCATACATTTCTGGAAATATTATTTGTGACTGATTTATTATGCTTACAAAAGGTTTTTCAAGTTTTTAAATCGCATATGACAACTAAAAATATTTGTTTCTTAACATGCCACCAGTATGACCAACCTTACGTAACTATTATCAACCAACTGTAACCTTAAGTTGGGTTAATTTAGTTTAATATTTACTTATAGGGTCTCGTCGCCAAAACATACTTTGGACTTGGGACTTGGGAACAATCAAGACAAACATCTTAAAGTCAAAAATATTCTTAATTTGTACAATACAAAACTAGTAGAAGTAAAAAAATATTTACGAATGAGAAGCAATAAGTGTACTGTATTTAAATATTTTTAAAACATTAGCTGAAGTGTGCTTTTATTAAAATGTGCATAGAACTTTAGAATTAATGTGGTTAATATTTCGTGTGTGTTATTTTCCCACACCAATAAAAGCATTCTGATATTATTTTGATAATGTTAAATTGCTTTAGTTATAGGGAATTCAGCTGGCACAGATCTATGTCCAACATTAACAGAGGGGGGCGCTGTTGGATCTTTCCGTAGGATTGGTTCAACCAGTCATAAGATAATGTGAAGTACAAAAAACACTGGAAGCGTCTGTGCGATTCAAGCAGCAGCAGCTTCAGGAAGATTCTAACTCTGTCACAATGGTGAGTGAGTTCACTGTGGAGTCACGACACCACTGTCTCCATTTTGTTTACTGCTCCTCTACCTTCTGCTATTTTATAACGCAAACATAGGGCGACGGTTGAAGGAAAAGTACATACGTAGACTCGCGAACGTAGTTAGCCTGTTAGCTTAGCATGAGTTACACCCTCTGTCTATTAGATGAAGTTAGTCAGAGGGACAGCTACGGGTTTCCGGTAGAGAGTGTCCAAATAAAGTACCGAAGCAGATTTTGAACGGTGGGCTGCGTGTATACTGCAGCAAAGAGGCAAGGGAGTTTTTGCTTGCTTGCTCAATACATCACAGTCTTAGTGGCCATGGAAGTCAAACCAGCAACCGTGGGAGTCAAAGCCCAATCTAGTTAGAACTAGGCAGCGGTCTGTCAATTAAGAGTTGGCAGAGCAGTGGAGAAGCCAAGGTTTGAACAGTTTAGGGATGTACGTAGATATGGTTTTGATGGTTGGTATGTGCTGAGTAGAAATAGAGGATACAATTTGGCAAAGAATGTTTGAGGACAAATCTGAATCCAGCAGAATCTTGATAAATTTCATGGTGTGGTTGATGAGAACGTGAAGATGGATGTTGTTATGAATACAGACTAGAGAGAGTGACACAACATTCTTCTTGACAGCGATACGCAGGAATGGATGTTTTAATAAAGTATTGTTTAAGGTAGGCCTAAAATATGTACATTTATAGATCGTTGTTTTAAATACATTTTTACAAAGCTCATGTTCTCTCATATGGGCTAGACTCCAGAATGCCTGAGTTTGGCTATCAGTATGCGAACAGTAATGTTAAAAAATCTATTAGTGTAACAGTGAAGTGTTTATATTTCTTAATATCAGTATCTACTACAAAAACTAATCTTTTGACTTTTTTATTGCATTTATTAAAGCAAATTTGTGGGTGTAAACTTATTGTGACTTATTTATCAAAATATGCTTTTAATTTGAAGGTAAGACTTGAGGACTTCCTGTAGTAACGTGGCTGACTGTGATGTTTGAACATGTCTCCTGCTCAGACAGCTTCCTTCAGGCTAGCTCTTCTCTGTCCTATTCAACTATTTTTTTTTTCTCCTGTTGTATTTATTCCAGTATGCCTTTAAAGTGTGTGTGTCTTCACGGCTTCACTAACAACATTACTCTGACACTGTGTCAATGTAAATACACAACAGAACAGGGAGATAGTTTGAAGTTTTCCTGAGGAATTTGAAGGAGGAGCACCAGTTAACCTTTATTGTCAGAGCTGATCCTAATCTTTTCTTCCTTCTCTGCTGCATCCTGTTGTTCCAGAGTCTGAGCCATGCACACTTCACTAAGTCTATCTTTAATCTGCAGGGATATCTGTGTGTTGTGTGTGATTGTGAGCCTAGACAAATCCTGACTCCCAACAGCCATCTGTTTGCTCCTGAAGGTGTAATTATAGATTTGAGGGTCTTCTGCAGAGATTCATGAGGTTGAGTTTTCTGTTTATGCAGCAGTTATGTAACGTTGGCTTCCACAGGTTCAGGCTCATTAAACCATGATGAGAGGATTTTTTTTCCCCTCAGTTGCAATCCTGCAGAAACATGCATTTGAATTGTAGTATTAGTCCTACCCTTGGTATAAATTTAGTTGGATGAAAGTAAAGCATTGGCTTTTTAACCAGAATTAACACCTTATTTTTAAACGCCTACACTATACCGCCTTGTTCCTCAGTCGGAGTTTGTGATGTGAATTGTCATCACTTTCTAATGTCTTCTCTTCCTGCAACTGTGAGGTTTTCTGATAAATACAGTACGTTCCAAACTCTCTTCAAATTGAATCTTCACAAGGATTTAAAGGCTTGTCATACCTGGTCTTTAAAACTTCTGGATAAACGTCTTTAATGTACTGTATCTTAAAAACTGCGTCTTTACATTTGTTGACTGATGGTCACATTTTCAGCACAATTGCTAAAAATGATGTAACTTTTCCAATGCACTTGGAAAAGTGCATATGCAAACATATTTATTAATATTTGCTTGTTGGTTTTAAGTGTATTCACACTGCATTTCAACCCCAAAATTTGTTAGATACCTGAAAAAACGCTAAAGTTTCAGTCTGTGATTCTGCTGCTCCTTGTTTTTATTGAAATCCTCTGCATATATCTATGGTAAAATAACTAAGTCACACCTCACTCCGTTTCTGCGTTTATATCACACGTTTTAATGGATGTTTCTTATTGCAGTCAGTCATCAAACTCTCTCTTTTTACATTTCAGTTGAAGTGAAAAGTCATAAATAAGTCAAACATCTGAGTGACTCTCTGAAGAACAGAGTTGTCACATTTTCACTTCCTGTCTTAACCAACACAACTGAACTGCCATGTCAGGCAGAAAGGATGCAGCTGACAGGAAGAACCTCAGTGAACAGATAAAGAGAAGTACAAGTTTTGGCACAGAATGACAAAAGTTAGCCCAAGTATAACAGCATTTAAACTAAAAATGCTCATAAGATTTTCCAAAATAGCCTTCAACATGTTTTACTTTGCTTTTCATCAACAAATAGTTATTTCATAGCTTAAAGATCAAAAGTTAGCCAAGAGATTAGTTTAAACATCAAAAGGTAGGTTAATGCTAAATGTATTTTAAAATGTATAGAAGCCTTAGAAAAAGCTAAATGTTGACCCAAAGATAACTAAAGGTTAACCACAATTTCTAACTATTTGAAGGTTTGCTAAAAGTTAGCATTAATATAACACAAATCTAGCTCATTTTCGCCAGAAACATCAATAAGGCTAAACAAAATAGCCTGGTTTGGACAAAAACATTGCAAATAACATCTCCAGATTATAAAATATATATCACTTAGCCTCTAATTAGCATGAAGTTATCCAAGACAACTAAGAGTTTGACAAAGGATAATAATGACATGACAATCTTGACCAGTTTCTGTTCTTGAGTTGTGTTTGTTTTCATCAGAGTGAGTCACTGGTGGTCTGTGAAGTGGACGAAGATCTGGTCAAAAAGCTCAAAGCCTTTCGTTTCAGGAAGGAGACCAACAATGCTGCCATCATCAGTGAGTACTGCCTGTGATTTCTGTCATACATTTCTGTAGTACTGTAGAATAACATATAGTAATATACTTACTATATATTATTATTATTAGTATTTTAAATATTGTTTTAAAATAGAATTTTGTTAATTAGATCATGCTGGATTATGTCAAGTTTGTTTTAACTTCTACCTTAAACTACTACAAAAATTTAAAGAAGTTCGAATTAGAAACCAAAATTGTGTTTTATTATTAAACACAACACCTTATTCATTTGATCTATATTTAAATTCTCATATTTACTCACTTCAACCCACCTGTTACTGCCACTCAACTAATGGTAGTCTTCAAGCTGCTGCCTAACTGTGTAAAAAACTTATTTCTTCTTCAGTGAAGATCCATAATGAAAAGCAGCTTGTGATTCTCGAAGAAGAGCATGAGGTGAGTTTATTTTTTCTGTTTGTTTTCTCAGTTCTGTTTTAATTATACTTTGGGATGTACAGAGAATTTCACATCTTGACATTTAAAAATAGTCTTGAAATCTCTAAGTTGTCTCATTGCCATCTTGTCTTGTAGGTCAGTTGAAAGTGTGAGTTTTTGTTTTTGTAAAATGTCTGTGTGAAACCGTCCTCAGACCTTTTCTGTTGGTGACACTGTTTTTAGGACATTTCACCCGATGAACTGAAGGACGAGCTGCCGGAGAGACAACCACGATATCCTCTGAACGACTGATGTTGTAGGGATGTTTGTAACTTAGAAAACACACAGTTGTTTGGTGTTCTTTATTTCTCTGTCTTGACGTCATCAGTTTCAGACGTGACTTTTCCTTAGCTCCACTCACATTTGTAGTCTACAGTTACAAATACCAACACGACGATGGTCGGGTGTCTTACCCCCTCTGCTTCATCTTCTCCAGTCCAGTGGGTAAGAACTGCTCCTCCATAAACTTCCATCAGTTCTAATATTTACAGAATTGATTTTAAAACAATCAACAGACATCATGAATTTGATGTTTTACTGTTTGCAGGCTGCAAACCAGAGCAGCAGATGATGTACGCAGGGAGCAAAAACAAACTGGTGCAGACTGTTCAACTCACCAAGGTTAGTAGACTGTGTGTGTGTGCTGGTGTTTGTTCCTTTGTGGGCACACCTTCTTTGTAAAATGCTTTGTTGTAGGGCAGGGCGATATGAACTAAAAGTCATATCTCGATATTTTTAGCTGAACGGCGATATTCGATATGTATTGATATTTTTCTGACATAATTGATTAGTCACTGCACAATATCAAAAGCTATAAAACAAATTGAACAAAAAAAAAACCTGAAATGCACAGGTCCGTCTTTTCTGCTCAGAAATTATTATTATTATTATTTCATTGGGTTCCAATGTGGGGGGCGTGCTCCCCTGGGAAGACATGGAACTAATGTTGTGTTTTCGTGCTCCGTGGGGAAAATACACTGGTTTGTACTTTTATTTCTTAGGCTCAACACAAATAACCAATTTGTAGGAATTAGAATGTTGTAAATTAGGGTCACTGGGAACTTGGGTTTGACAATAGGCCTATAAACAAATGGAGGGAGGGGTTGCATAAAACACAAACACCTGCACTATTTTATCAATCAAAAATGTGTCACCTTATTCTAAAACGTTGAGAAACTATTGCCACTGTGCTGGAAAATGTTGAGATCAACTCAACTGTTGCTGTGTCCAGTGTGGGACTTACAGCGGGCACAGGAAGCTGGGGGTTTTTTTTTTTCAAAATGTTAAATTAGTTGACTACTGTGATGTTGTCAAGAATTATATCTCAACATTTCTGCTACTTTTCAGGTGTTTGAGATCAGAAACACAGAGGACCTGACAGAGGAATGGCTGCGAGAGAAACTAGGCTTCTTCCGCTAATGTCGTACGGTGCGAGGAGGGTCCAGATGAAGGGTCCGTGTGTGTCGGCTGTTTTAACTGTTTCCCTTACTTATTAGCTTATTTTCTGGTGGATCTTGGGATATGTTAGTGTTTATTATCCTTTTTTTTTTTACAATGTTATGAAAGACAGTCAAACTTCCTGCCAGAACAGTTGAGCCAAGTCGTTTACACAACTCTTCTGAGTTCCTCTGTTGTCTGTTTCTCATTCAGTTTTTCTTTCGTCGCAGGGCATTGACATTGTAATATAAGTGAGGTTTAATGATTCCAGTCTGTAAAAAGACTCACACACAGGATCCACCTTTGAGACTGTAGCTGCTTCCAGGCAGGCACCAAAGTCCAGGCCTTTTTTCCAGATTGTTCCAGTGAGACATGAATGGCCTTACCATTTTGAGAAAGGGTCCAAGACAATAAATAGATCCTACATATTTAACACCTCTCGGACAAAGAATGTGTTATTTTGATTATAATTCCAAAATGTTAAACAATAAAATTATTATTGTTAGCAGAAATACCTCTGCATTTAAATGGCATATTAATTAGAATAGCATAGAAAGTTTGTCAGTAAAGTCGGTAGAATCTCTATAGAACTCTTTCAGCTTGCTTTAAATCCTGTTTTTATTGGTGGAGAACTGGGCGCCTGCTACACACTGAGCTCCTGCTGTTGCTGTTTGTCTAAACATTAAACATTTAAAATGGTCCTGGAAATGAATCCAAAATGTCCTTGAAACTTTTTTCACTGTCAAAAAAGGCCTTAAAAAAAAGAAAGAAAGTAACCCAGATTCTATTTTAAAAAAGGTGTGTATGTCTGAAAACAGCTTCACAGTCTAATTAAGATGTGTTTGACGTGGACGTCTCAGTGTAGAGACCTGCTGTAAAAACCCCTGTATGATTTAGATTTGTTTTTCCTGACATTTGTGAAGAACCAGGGTGAATTTAACATTCTGCCGTCAACCTGTGCATGTCGAGTTACACACACACACACTCCAGGAAATGTCACCTTCCTCTTACACATTCCAGTTTACACAGTTTATACAGAAGAGTCAAAATAATCCAGGACAGAGAACACTGGGCCTCGTCTTATCTCTCTGTACACTCGTGTCTTTATGGAGATGTTTATCAGCCTATTTTGTGTGTTTCTATTAAAAGCTTTTATTGTTGTTATTGTTGATGAATGTTGGCGCTTGTCTGCTTTGACACCGCCTAGTGGTGGTGGCTTTTAGAGACGAGGGATGCGACTTTCCTTCAAACACCAGTTGTGCTTAATTGTCAGTGGATTCAGGAGATCAACAGACAGACAGATGGACAGTTTTTTACATCTTACCCACAGACCAGGGTTTGACCAATGTACTCCAGGCTGAATATGTGGATTAAATTCACTTCTTATTTCTTACTAACATACTGTAGAAATACAATTCCTAGATATGGTCTGTGATGTTTGAAAGAAACCAGTAAGTGAAACCAGTAGGTCACTGGTTTATGTCCTGCCAGGGTTTTTCAGAAATTTTAAAACCTGAAAATAATTATTTTCAGGATTCTTGATTTTATGTTCTTGAAAAGGTCAGCACAGAGAAAAAGTTCCCTCTGGGTGTGACTGTAATGACTTCTTGAAAAGGTCAGCACAGAGAAAAAGTTGCCTCTGGGTGGACAGATTTTGTGACACCAGTCCAGCGCAGCATATTAGTCTCTCCCTAATGGGGAATTAAAGGCACAATTTTTAAACCTTAATCCTTGTTGACACTTGACAGATGAGAAAAGTGACAGTTGTGTTTGATTTAAACCTCAAGTATAAGGAAGTTCACAACAGTTGATATCATCCTGGTGAATCGGCCGTAGCAATGCCCTGTCTGTTAGTGGAAGAAATTGTTCTGTACAGTTTTAATAGTGACTGTTTTTCTCTACAGAGCATTTTACCCAGGTTCATTGACTTGTCATGGTTTTGTTTCTGTATGCAAATAATTCAAACTGAGGAGTTTTTCTGCACCCCCCCCTTTATCAATAGAACTAATGTGGAGCCCCCCAAAGATTATGTCCACCCACTCATGGCTAATCCTTTGAAACTCCACTGAACTGTATTGAAAACGCTGTTGTTTCTACAAAACTATTATCCAGTAAAGTAATTCTCTACAAAATACATATTTTTTAAAATAAAAATAATTGTTTTATTTCTTTAGAGTCAGTAAATATAACTTAAGTTGATAATTGTTTTCACTTTGTTATGACACTGCTATAAGAGGAAAAAACGAAATTGTAGTTTCACACAACACGTGTTGTGGGTTTTTCTTTGGCTTTTTCTCTGGTTGAGCAAGAGTTGCATGCAATGCCTTATGGGTAAAGAAAATTTAAAGGCGTTAAAACCTGCTAAACATCTTTTCTTCTTGGAAAGACAAACTGAGGCTTTTGTTTTGACTAAAGATTTCTTTTTCTCTCCGACAAAATAAAACTGAAGTCCAACTCTGATAACGATTAACTTGAAATATGTGCAACATGCTGCTTGGATGTGAACTTGTTTCGCTGTTCTCTCGTTAGGAAATTCAGAAAAGACCTCACAAATGTGAAGAGCTACTGTTATATAAAACAAATCAAAAAATAAAAGTGCATGCGTTGAATGTAATGTGTGAACAGTTCACATCGACGTCTGGCACTTGTCATCATGTGGAGAATTCTCTGTTCTGCTGCATGTTCCTTAGCAGAGCAGATGTCTCAAGTCAAATAAATGTGACTGACTCAGTTTCATCTCAAACATCAGCTCTTAAAGATATTTAAATGGAAATTCTCCTCTGTGTATCTGTTTTAATGAAGCATCAAAGATGCCTTTAAGTCGTTGTTTCCAGCACAAGCTTTTACTGGAGAAGATTCTCTTGGTTTTAGGTTGAATGTGAGGTTTTTGTCCTGTGGATCTGATAGTTTTCTCTTTCTGTGGTGAGTGTGTTTTAATATATTTGGTGTCTGGAGTCTTATTCTCTTGTATCCTGCTAATGTGTTGTTCAGCTTTTGATGTCCTCTTTGAACAATACCTACTATTGTTTCTACTTTTTAATGTAACAAAAAACAAAAACACTTGTATTAAAATCAGCTGCCTCATGGCTTTGGTGAAACCTGAGATATTTGAACTTTTCCCATCACTTTGTAAAGTGTCTGTGGTCACGTGGTCCAAATAAAAAGACATCCATGTTTAACCTCTGTTGACTTTATTTGTGCTGTGTTGATGTCAAGGCTTTGTTGTTTTGCTTTTGATGCAAATTGTTCTCTAGTTGGCTATTTTTTGTTTTTCAATTCATAAATTGATGGATGTTCAGCTCTCTTAGTTAATCTTACTAAATTGCAATCCATTATTTCAGAATTAGTCAATAACAATAACAATCTAAATATAAATGCAATTAATATTGTTTTCTAGTTTCTGTTGTAGAGTCTGTAATACTCTTAACATAATCCATACCAAAAATCTCAAAATGTATAAAGATTCATGTTGGATGCATTTAATAATATGATGTTTTGTTGCAGGTTTTCAGACTGTTTTTTGAGTGAAAAACAAAATAACAGTAAACTGATTGTTGATTGTTATAAAATAAATATAAATTTATATTGAAATTTTAAGATCACTTGTAGCAGTCAACGTAGCAGCATGGCATTATTGAGAAAATGCTACTTTATTAGAAGTCTTCCAAATAGTATCTATAATTATAATGATATGGTATCTCCTAACAACAGCTCGCATTGGACAAGGAAGGAGAGCTACTAAGTATTTTTTTTTAAGTTTCAAAGTCAGTAATGAATATCACACTTTAAATATAACGATATGGAAGTTTCAACTTTGTCCAGCAGATGGCGCAAGAATAAAGACTTTTAAGATTAATAACCATTACAACAAACGAAGAAGAAGATCCGGCGACAAATCTCTACAGTGCTGCGGAGCTGACTGAGCTGTCTCTGCCTGCATCATCAGCGGACAGCTGCCAGCCAGGAACCGACTAGCACAAGTGGAGGATTTAGGAAAAAATGGCGTTCACATTCGCGGCCTTTTGTTATATGCTTGCGCTGCTGCTCACGGCGGCTCTCATTTTCTTCGCTATCTGGCATGTAAGTACATTTTTGCCAAACTCTATGTGACGCTATTAGCACGTCAGTGCAGCTGCGCTGATAGAAGCAGCTTAAAAGTGTGCAGCTAGCAGTGTGCTCTGCTCTAGCAATGTAAGACAAACGACAGGCCGGTGTTGACAACGTTGATCTACAAATTAACTGGATGAACCCTCGCAATGATAAAGTATATAGAAGAGGCTAAGTTTTAATTGTGGATGTCAAGTCATTCTAGAACTAATGAATGAACACACCCTGCTGTTTAGCTCAAGGCTAAACCTAGCATGCTAAATATTATGAATGTAAATGTTATATGTACAAACTGTGTTCTTGTTGTCTTTTATATTTTTTAGTGTAAATTTTATTAACATTTAAAGTTATAATTAGACACCAATATACATGACACGCGTGTCCAATAATTTATTTACGTTTATCTAGTAGCTGTTCGGCTAGTTAGCTAGCTAAGCAACTAAAGACAACCTAAGTTTGAAGAGAAAAAACATTGCGTTCTAATGTCATCCATAATGACAATAAAATTTGTTACTAAATCTCCTATTATTTCACTTTGGGTCTGTTTCAGTCAAAATATCAACTTTACAATGCATTACATTAAATTGCTTCACAAATAACGGGGCGTGCTCCCTTGGGGGGCGCGAGAGAGTATTTTCGGTATACTGATTGTATGCAGAATCCCGGCGCCGGCAACCCATAAATAAATATTACCAGGCACTCAATAGTATTTCAATAACAATATGAATAACATATGTTATTTGTTTTCTGTAGATAAAAGGGAGAGAGGTTGTCCGGAACATGTATACCTCAAAGGCTAGAAATGGGTCTAACACCTTAATTGCCAAAAAACTTATTTCTTCATTTACATTAATGCATTTAGCAGACACTTCCATCCAAAGATACTTACTAGAGGAGGATAGGCTGGATGTAAACACAATCAAAGGCCTGCATTTGTCATATGATAAGATAACTTTCTTGTGATAAAAGAACAGAACCAGGATAACAATGTCTTGCCTTCTTACCAATACTTATACATTATTTATCATTCATTACAACATTTATTGGAAAAAAGTGGTGCAATGTCCTATTCAAAGTTGAAATACTGTTTTATTCCCTGGTTTTTGCTAATATCATTTACTTCCTCCTTACAGATAATAGCTTTTGATGAGCTGAAGACTGACTACAAGAATCCTATAGATCAGTGTAACACTCTTAATCCGGTAAGTAACTCCAGCGTCTGTACCTCATTAAACTTTTCTGCCTCTTTGACTGCATGCAGATCTGCTCCGAAGTATATTTGTTTTAGGATCTTTTTTCCTCCTCTGTCTTTTCTTCAGTCATTTCTATCTCTGCACTGTTTTGCTAAATAACCTGCCTGTTGTGAATTCACTGACCTTGTTGGCTGTCAAATTCTAATGCCCTCTGTTGTTTTGTTTTTTCCTCCCTAATCTTGCTTTTTTATATTTTATAAATGGAAAAAAAGACAGTTGAAAAGGTCAAAAAGATTAAAAGAGTCAAAATTGCATTAAAGGTTTGTACCAAGTTTTTATTTTTCTGAAAATGCCCGCTCAATTCAACGGTCTGCAGTCTTGTCATTTTGCACGTGGAAGTGTTTGCAAACGTCTTTTCAGTTAACTAATCTCAGCGTTGAGGTCAGAGGTTAGGTGAGGATTAGAACAAGTGCCACCTGTGCCCCAGGATGTGTTGTTTCAGTATGTAAATTTTGATATAATTCTTTTGTTAAAACCTAGGATGCAAATGTCAACAAAAAAAGTTTTATTTCCATACTGTATAATAAAAAAGGAAAGTAGCAATAATAAAACCAAAGGAGATTGGATTCAGCAGCAGCTAAATCCTATAGGACAGTTGTTTGTTTGTTTTTTCATCCATCACTTTTTAACAAATTGAACCAAAATTAATGCCCTTCTCTTCTCATGAAAATACCTGAAAAGTGATTTAAGCAAAACAATTCTCTTGAAAATATTTAACATTATTAATGTATTCAGAATCAAATGTATTTTTCCAAAAATTTTAATACATACAGTTTGTTTTTCAAAACCCTTCTCTGGTGAGGCTTCCCAGTGCAACTAATAATTTGACTGTGGACAGCTATCTTTACTTCTTGTTTACGGTCTGTAGTTAAATCATCCATTTCAGTCACTTACTACATTTAAAAACATATTTTTAACGCTAAAACGCTCTGGTGCTCATTTGGAGGAATTTCTTAAATATTGGCTAAAGAATAGCTGTTAACTGAAAAGACTTGCAAATGCTCAAAACATGCATGATCTTTATTACAACTTCCCCTTTGTTTGCATCTAGTCTTACTGGTCCAATAAATTTCCAGTAATCTTGTGAAGTTAGTTTACTTTTTCTGAAATGCCAGTAGATGAACATGACAACCCTGGTTCTCACCAGAAAGTGTGAGCTGAGTGGGGGTCAGCAGGTGAATTGGTGAACAGAGGGCAGAGTGCTTTTTACAACAGAGCGAGTGTTGTCCTTCTGTTTCCTTTATCTTTGCTCAAATACTACAAATTCTAATTCAAAAATATTTGATTGACTAAGGCTTTAGGACTGTAGTTACTACCCCATTTGTCAGTTAGATATAGTAGGGTTGATTGTATAAAAATATTCCTCCAGATTCGCGTTTGATGCACAGCTAAACTTAGGGGTTGTCCCGATACCTTTTGTACACCGAGTACCATCAGCAGTACCACGTTAGCTGGGTTTTCAATAAAAATGTGTTTGACTGGAAGGCTGTTGTTGTTGGCGAAGCAACATAACACACTAGTCAGATTTGTTTTTTTGTTGGGGTTATTTTAATCAAAATGGAAACAAATATTTCTGTATGAAACAAACAAACAAAAAACAACCTTCAAGTCAACACTGTCTTCACCAGGGATTCCCAGATTCCCAAGGTGTTTTGAGCTGCCACTAGAGGGTGCGCGACATACAAAAGGACACCAAAAAGTGTTTTGAGCTGCCACTAGAGGGTGCGTGACATACAAAATGTGATGCGGTTTGGATTCTTTTTTTAAGAACACTTACTAACCACTATAGCTGGTTATAGTGAAAAACCTTAGAGGGTGTCAGGTTGTTGGATCGGGACATGTGTTCAAGTACGAGTATTTGAATGAAGTATCGGTGTGTCCCTAGTGAATATGAAACGGTTCTGATTGTTTTCCTGAACGCTGATGTTTAATGTCTTTAATCAGATCGATTGTCTCCACGCACATATTGAACAGTAGGGGGCAGTTTGATACAACCATGACCACAACTTATGAGCTCATTGTTTGGCCGTAGCCTCTGTCACCTGTGGTTCAGAGCAGATGGCTGCAGAATCCCAACACACTGCAGATCAGCAATATTTGTAAATACTGATTGGTCCGTGGCTTCACCAGTGGGTGGAGACATTTGGCCCAAAAGCTCAGGGTCTGTGATCCATGTCACACACTGCAGAACCATTCCCTTGAGTATACTTCTGCTCAGGTAGAAGAAAAACCATTTGTTTGTAGTGTGAGGTTTTATGTTTTTATATTTGGCAGCACAGTGCAGGATTTTCCCTCCTCACATTTCCTTTTCCTTCACACTTCCCCTCACCTTTCCATCTGTGGGCTATTTGTTGCCCTCCCTCCCCAATTCTTCACTCTTTCTCAACGCATGGCTTCCATGTGGTGCCTCCATCTGCCCTCATGAACCCTCCACCAGTATAAACTCTGTCACCATGTGTCAGGCTCCTCCTCCTGCTCCTCCTGCTCCTGCTCGTCTTTATCTTCTGTGTGTATCGTCATGACGTGGGAGTGTTCTTTTGTCTGTGGTCAGACTTAATGCATGACTTTTATAAACAGTGTGAGGAACTGTTTTTTTGGGAGTTTTTTTCTGCCTTTTCTCTAAATTGTGAGGCAAAATTTTGCTTGACTGATTTTAAATGTAACTAAAATGACTAAAATTATATTTAACTCATTCATGTTGTCATGATTGTAATTATCATGTACAATATAATGTACATTTGTTAAACCTTTTTAGCCTCGTATTAATTATGTTTAAAACGTGACATCACAACAGAGGCTTATTGGTAGAATTTCTTTTTTTATTATATGTGAAAGATTTAAAAACCAAGACAAAATGTGACATAATTTTGTTTTAGTTTGAATTAATTTTCCTTTCTCCAGTAATAGTGAATATTAAAACAGAAGCTTCGTCCGTATAATGTCCTCAGGTGTTTTGTCCTCTGACCACTTCAGCTTTGACTCAGTGTTTTAGAAAACATCAAAACACTGTCTCTGTCATGCGTTTTCCTCAGAGGTAGAAAACACAAACATACTGTTGATTCCACGATGTCCTCTTGCCATTTTCTTCCCCCGACAGCTGGTTCTTCCAGAGTATCTCATTCATTTCTTCTTCTGCGTGATGTTCTTCTGTGCAGCCGAGTGGCTCACCCTGGTCCTCAACCTCCCACTGCTGGCCTATCATGTTTGGAGGTGAGTGATTATTGACGTTATCATTTATTTGTTTGTTTGTGTGTGTGTGTGTGTATTTCTGAGTGTCAACCCCCCCTGGTGTTGGTCTGCAGGTACATGAGCAGACCAGTGATGAGCTGCCCAGGACTCTACGACCCAACAACCATCATGAACGCTGACATCCTGGCGTACTGTCAAAAAGAAGGCTGGTGCAAACTGGCTTTCTACCTCCTCTCCTTCTTCTACTATCTCTACGGGTACGGAAAACATGACATTTTTGAATTGAAATTAATGATTAATTTATTACAATAAATTCATTTAATGAATTTGTGTTAACGTGACGTGAACATTTGTCAGTTTACTGCATGTAAAATGTAAAATTTGGGTTTCAGTTTTTTTAGTAGCATAAAAGTCAAAACCAGACATGTATTCATCCCTTTATATTAAGTGGGCACAGTGGAGGAGTGGTTAGTGTTCTCGCCTTACATAAGAACATCACTGGCTCAAACCTCCTGATGGTGTCATGGTGATGATGAATTGTTTCTGTCTGCGAGTTCTCAAGGATTCATTTAGTATAAGCAAAACATTAGCTGCGTTCTGTCCTAATTCTAAAATTGACAGTTTCCTGAACATAAAAAAATTAATGTATGTTCATTTTCAGCCAATGATGGTAATGCTAACATCTCCAGGGGAAATGATAAAAAATTAATGTATGTTCATTTTCAGCTAATGATGGTAATGCTAACATCTGCAGGGGAAATGAAGATGGTTGAGAAAATTGTTGGATCTAAATTTATTCCATACTCCTTTAGTGTTTTTTTTGTTTGTTTGTTTTTTCAAACTTGCTAAAACCAATCCTGACTTGCTGTCTGTTCTGACCGGCTGCTCTGACCGTCTGTTCTGTTTCCATCAGGATGATCTACGTTCTGGTGAGCTCCTAAACCAGACCATGAAGGAATGAGTTCCCTGCATGTTCAGTAGACGAACAGACACCGATGTCTGGGCTGGAACGCTGCACCTGCTGGTGACCGACATTCAGCGACACAAGACGCCATTTTAAACGGACAACCTCTCTGAAACCCCCCCCACACACAAACACACTCAGAGCAGAGCATCATTTCAGGAACCCTATTAGCTTCAGGTAATCCTCATGGCAGCGTTTTCATAACACCATGACTTCATTTCGATGACAAATAAGGACAAGCCTGGATGGACACATTTCCTTTTTTATTTTAATGGTGCGGTGATTTTGATACTTGGGATTTCAATAAAGTCTTGTCTTTTCTCTTTTAAATCTTGGACCCTGCTGATGTTGTTCTTGATGCGTGGAGTCACCTGAGAATCTGAGCTGGGCATAATCCACGTTAACTTCTGAAACTGCTGCTTCTCCTCCTGATTCCTGATTCTTTACATTTTCTAAACAAAACTTCTTTCCCACGAGTCGTGGTCCCACTGCACGGTACCAGAACTTATTAGTACTGATCCTCTGTCCTGCTTTTCTGGATGCACTGTCATCTAAAAAGGCAGGACAAAATCCCATCATATTTCTCTAGTCTCTTTCTGTGGACACGTGTGTTGCTGACCCTGGAGAACTCAGCTGGTCTCTTGACCTTCATCTTTTCTCTGCTGGTTCACGTCTCCTGGTCTTACTGAGTTGATTTCTCTCAGCCGCTGGAAACGCACACAAGTAAAAATTACATTTTTTTTTCTTTTTTTTGGATTAGGTTTCTTAGGTTATGGTGAGTTCTTTGACCAATCACAGTCTGTGCTCAACCTTAATGACTCCTGTACTTCTTATAGTGCTGTCATCCTAGTTCTCCTTCAGTGTCTTGTCTAAATCTGAGGGCTGTCAAATGATTAAGGTTTTTAATCAGATTATTAACAGGGTATCTGTGGATTATTCATAATGAATCATATTAAATCATGATGTAATTAATTACGATTCATAAAGATTAATCAACATTCCTAAATATGACAAAACCCTTTTTTTTTAATCTTTTAAATCCCTAGAACGGAATGATGAATACCAGCAGGTAGATTTGTGTTTCACACCTGTTTTATTGGTGACTAATCTGAATGATGGAATTGTTGATTATGGAGATTAATTTAAAATTTAGCTCCAAAGAGTTGCAAGTTTAATGAGACCCGAACTTAAGGAGAAAAGAAAAGTGGCCGTAAAGTTCAGTGCAGTAATGGCTACAACTGCTCATATCGTCTGGTACCGATTCCTGCAGTGGAAACAGGCCAACAGTAACTGTTGATAATCAACACAAAAGTCTCGGTTGTGGGTTGGTACGAGAGAAAAGCGTTGTAGCACAGGGACAATCTCCGTGTGGTCACTACAACAGTTTTCATGGTGTTCACTTAGATCCATTTCATCCCACTCTGTAGCTCCTGCTGAGAATATTGGGTCAAATGTTGTGTGTTTGTGTCGACCCTGCAGATTCAGTAGATGAACTCCACAGTAAAGACAGAACTTTTTTTAGCTTTAGGAGCAACAGTACTTTGACGGATTCTGCTGTTTAGCATTAGAAAACATCACAGTTCACAAGTTCCGGTTGTTGAATCAGCCATTTCTCACTCCTGAACCGTTTCTGTCTGTGTTTTGTTTTTATGCCAAATATCCCACCTTTAGTAAAAGCAGTGTTTGGTTATTTGTTTACTGTTTTTAATCTGTGCTTTTTAGGCTCCATATTTTTACACACTCCTCATTTCAGGAATCCAAATTTTGAAAAGTGAGTTCTTTTGACCATGATACTTAAAGGATACAAAGTATTTATTGCCATTTTACTACAACTTTTACTGTATCAGGGAGAATGGTCATGTGTGTGAGAAAGTTTAACTTTCATGTCTTTTTAATCCCACTGTGTCACATCGGATAAATAATGTTTTGACTTGATTTGAATCTGAATAAAAAACCCCACTCTTTAAAGTAGATTGAAGTATTTTTGTTTCAAAAAAAAGAATTTGTACAAAATATATTTTGAAATTTTAATCACAGTACTTTATTAATTTGTAAGGTTACAATTTTTTGAATATTCTGTTTGACCAAGCATAGTGCTTGCTTAATAGTTTGATTAATTTGTAGCATTAAATTTAGCTTTTTAAAAAAATAAGTTGTATAAAAATTTAGATTACAGATTAGATCACTATTGATCCCACACTAGGGGAAAAGGTTTTGCATAACTAAGGGCGAGAAAATGGGGAAAAATATTTCCCAATAACACTCATCAAAATACCCCCATGCACTACATGAATTATCTAATTAAAAATAATAATTAAAGAATTTATTAAAACATTCAATAAAATGCATCCAAAATAAACACCCAGACAAAAAAGCAACATTTTGGTTTAGATTTTAAAAACTGACAGAGCATAACAATACACTATGACTTGAGAAATTCATCCAAAATCTACATACTAATCATAGTTTTTGCTAAAATGCCAAAAAATGTAACTTATCAACCAAGTAACAGTACACACAACTTTGAATTTTCTTTTTTCGATTAAAACCAGCGTCAAAGAAAGCAAATATATTATTTTTTTTGTTAAAGTGCAACCATCACAAAACCTGATTTCATCTCCCACAACCAAAACATCAAACACTGACAGAAGAGAAACAGCAATTAAAATAAACGTCAGCCGTCACCGAGACACTGAGCGCTCGGTGAAGACGTCTCTGCTCTGCTGGTACGCCGTGTACTTCTCCTGGAACTCCTGCAGGAAGTTGTATTGCTGAAGAAAGAAAAGTACAAGACGTAACTGTGAGTTAGCCTCTTTTCTGTGTGTTTCTAACTGTGAGTTAGCCTCTTTTCTGTGTTTATTCTAATTTAATGTCATTTTTTGCTCTATACGAGGTAACTTTTCTGTTATGAATGGAACTGTTCTTAAATTATCTTTGTTTTTTTTAATCACATTTATACAATGTTTTTATGTTGCTTGTTTTTGGTCATTGCTAAATAATTAGTTTTTGTGTGTGTTTCTTGGTCATATTTATTGTTTATTTGGTCAAAGACACAGTGATCTACTCCTCTTGCTCCTTCTCTTTACCTTCACAGTCTGAATGGCTCCTCCTCTGTACTCCTTGAGGATGTCGATGGCTTTGCTTGGGGTCATGGATGGGGAAAGCCTGAGCAGCAGACAGGCAGCGACTGAACAAAAGGACTGAACATGAGACGTGGTGGAAAAGAAGACAATGCTAGGACTAAAAAAACAAATTAAAATTAAAGCATAACTAAAATGTTCTCACTTAATGCAGATCGTCCCAGGCCTCCGAAACAACTGAGGAAGGAAGAAGAAAAAGTCTTATTAGTGTCCAGACAAGATGAGGTTGAATTCAAGCACTTTCCCAGCACTTTCAAGGTCTCATTTTAAACATCGCAGCAGCTGTTAGCTTTGATCTTAACCAACTATTACTGTACCTTCAGAGGTACAGTAATAGTTTTTATATACATTATGTCTCAACTAAATTTATACTTGGGCAATGTTTCTACAACATGCATATTATGGGTTCTTCATAGAGACACCCCTGCTGTGGGTCAAACACTGGCCATGACGGAGACGGTGTGACTCACTGGACCAACGTCCTCCTGTTGTTCTCCAGGCTGAACTGCAGCTCCTCCAGGATCTGGCAGCACTGCGGCAGCTCCGGGGCACTTCCATCTGGAAAAGGCATGTGGTGGACGGTGAATCCTCTCTGCTGGTAGACGTCCAGCAGGGCGGGGACACGGTAATGGTTCAGTTCTGCCCTGGTGCAGAAAACGAACACGTCCTGGACGCCCTGGCTGTGGAGCTCCTCTGTGTCAGGACGAGGAAGAGAGTTCAGATGACGATTTCAGTGTTCAGAGGATGTGTTCACCAAGGAAACCTAACATTACTAACCACTACAGACAGGGTAAGTCAAAAAGTTTTAAGACAGATGTTCTAATGCTCTGAGAATTTAGTAACTAATACCAAGGTTGTTGCTGATACCTTCTTTTTTTTTTACAAATCCATATGAGGATTTGTAAAAAACATCCTCATACCCACCGTAGTGGGTGTACTACTACGGTTTATCAAGTCACTGGGTTAGTACTCATTCAAGGATGAGTCATTGAACATCCATCTGAAACATGTTAAGACTCCAACAGCATTGACAAGTTTATCATTAGATTTCTGTCAAGTGGTTTTAAACTGAATTGATCAAAAGTTGAAAAGAGCAGTTTGTGAGCGATGTTAAAAATCCTCTTACCAACATCGCTCTGCAAATTCCTCCTTATCTCCTTGTATTTGCAACCTGAAATCCAATGATAGAAATGTATTTTACCTAAAATTACACAACACAAAGGTAGAAACAAAAACAAAAATAATACTGTCATTTTACCTGGTAGAGCACATATTCCCAGAAACTGTGAGCAATCGACTACTGACAGAGGTAACCTTAAAGAACAGACAGAAAACATCACATCAACATTACCAAATGGGGAAAAAAAACTATTTTTTTTATCTTTAGGAAGGAGGTGAGCTGACATCTACCAGGAGATGTGGATGGGAGTCAGCTGCTCCTCCCCAATGTCTTCATCATCTGATGAGGAGTCAAACTCAATCGTCCTCATGTCTTCACCCTCAGAACAAGGATGAAAGAAAAAAGAAGGAAAAACAAGAATTAAATCCAGGTGTGAGAGACACATCAGAGAGAGACAGAAACACGTTCAGTGGAGGTTGGTTAAAAAAATAAATTAATAATTAGTAATCTTTTTCATTTCCTCAGGAAAGAGGAATAACCACAATGCCTTTCATCACTATCCATTCCTAGTCTCATTTTCTTGTTAGGGTCTGGGTGTGGCTGGAGGCCAGTCAGCTTTAGTATAGAGATTATATTATAGACTGTTATTGTAAACATGGCCACGTTAAGTTTTGGTTAAGATTTGGCCCACGGGCCTTGAGTTTGACATTTTTAGTTTAACATGAAGAATTAACTTAACCCTGAAGATTTGTGGATTGTGGGAGGGTAACCGTCCTCTAAAGTTGGAGGTGAAACCAGTGGCCTTCTTACTGTAAGGCAAGAGTCCTAACCACTCTTCTCTGCTGTGGTGACCACTAACTGTTTTAGTTTAAAACATTCAGTTTGACTTATTTAATAAATTTGACCCTGAAGGCCTGCTCCACAGATGGAGCCTTCCAGCACATTCCAGAAAGACAGGTTTGTCTCTGTCCAAGGACGTCCAAACAGGTCATACAGATCACACTCCCTGTGGAGACTAACTGTACTCACAATGTCCAAAAAAAGTTTAAACTTATTTTAAAAAAGGTCACTTTTGTTTTGCCTCCTTGTGTCTGGACTCCATCTTTATACAGTATATGCTTTTTTTAAGGCATGGATGATATGATAATAAAACACTAGTTTTATTATTATTATTATTTTAAAAAGGACTCAAACTAATAGGCAATGTTAATATAACTAGAAAAGTACAACACATCTGGTGAGTTCCATCAATCTACAGTACTACTACAGTCGTAGCAGTGGCGTCGGCTAACGTTAGCTCGACGACTAATCTGTCTGAACGAGAACAAAACGGCGAAAAACTACACTTTTTAATGTAAACTCTTAAGAATACAATTAAACATTGTTTTTTTAACGACGTGACGACTAATACACGAGGTTATAATAAAAAAAAAAGATACAACAGTTTTTCTTATTTATTCTTACCGGTTAGTGTAGGCTCCTTTGCATGTTTGAACAGCTGCCTGCGTCAGCTGGCGTTTGAAAACAGAGACAACAACCAATCACGTTCAAAGTGGCAACGTGAAGCCACGCCCTCATTTGCGAATCAACCGCCCTCATTGGTGCTCCTGATTTTCATTACGCAGTGCGTATTTTATTTTATTCACCCTTTTTGTTTAGCTTTTAGAAAAAATATTTAAATAATTAAGAATGTTTTCTAAACTTTTATAACATTTATAAAACATAACATAACAATTGTTTTCTATATTTAATATATTTAACATTGTCCAATTTAATATAATGTTAAACTATCTTTATTTTAGTCGAACTCCTTATAAAGAAAGAACATACTGTAACCCCGCAAGGGTTACAGTATGTTCTTTCTTTATGCCCATACGTAAACTCTGTCCCAATATTTTATACTATACAACAGAGTCTTTTTAAAATTATTTTCAAACAAAAATATGTTTTAATACTTACTTGAATATATACTAAAATATACTATAAAGTTAAGCGTAACCAGTAAAAGAGAGCCACTAGGAGGTAATTACTCCTAAACACAAACGCATTGCACGTGCGCGAACTCAAAGGCAGAGGAAAGATGTAGGTACTGCACCGACAGAACACCTCCATGTGGACATGGACACAGTTTATGCCACAAAGCTGACTTCCTCAGTGAATCACTGCTCAGCGAGTGTCCTGCAGGACATCTGCTGCCGTCTGCACGGAGTCAGAGTCACAGATCGTAGTACACAACTACTGCGGACATCACATACTGCAAATACTGCGAAGACTGTTCTACCACAATAGAACTGAAGCGAGAATAAAAACAAAAACAGATTGTGTTCAGAGGATTACTGCAGTTTCTCATCATGTACCTGAAGGTTACAGCAGAGACGCAGTGACTGTGGTGAGTTTAATGTCACTTTTTGGTATCTTTGTCCTCTTTGGGGTAGCATCTATGAGTATATTTCTGGATATTTGGACAGGCTAACCTAATATTTAGGTTTACGATCTTTGACAAGTGTACAACTGACAACAAAATGTTTGTTTTTATACATTTATCTACTGAAGAGAGATCGACATTCAACTAATCCAGTCTAAATGTCGGTGTTTTGTTCGTTTTTCCACTCTTACTGCTTCCACTTTATTGTTTGTGAGGATTTGTGCACGTCGTGTTTTTGCAGTTTTTTTGCTGATCTGTGCCTTCTGTCAGCAGCCCTCCCAGTGTACAGGGAGGGATCTTGGCTCCTGCAGCCCTTCTCCCTGCAGGACTGAGCTCTTTGGCTGCTTCTTCACTTCCTCAGCAGAGAGGCTGCTGGCAGCAGCAACATCTGAGCAGGTACAAAAATAAAATGTGTAACTCTAAATAGAAAAACTAGAAAAGTACAAGTGTCACATAGCACCAAAATTAAATTTTTATGTGTAAACCTGTCTGTTTTGTCATGTCTGAGCTTCTGAGCTGAGGTTTCATGTTACTGAGAGAAAAGCAGGTGGAATTTTCTGCTTTGTTTCCATTGTTCACGTTGAACTGTATCTCTTGAAAACATGCTTTTCTGCTTCATTCAAGTCCACTCTGCTTTGTTTGCCCTCTGCAGTTGCTTGTTTCATTTACAGATTTTTTTTTTTAATGAGGCAGTGTTTGCAAACAGCCTTGTTTGTGTGTTGTGTTTCTCCCTGCAGAGGTCATGAAGCCCCAGGAGACCCAGCTCGTCACTGAAATCTCCAAGGTATTCCTCATTTCTACCTTCATCAAACACAGTATGGTCCTTAAAACGTGTAAACATAGCTGGAACAGAACACTCACTTATAAAACACAGTATTAACTTGAATAGCCTAGTCAAAATTATTGTAAAGTTGTTTTATTTACTTAGTTATCTTCATTTTCTTTATAGTTTGTAAATTAAGTACCACCATGATGACAACATTAGAATAAAGCAGCATATACCTTCCCTATTAGTTCACTATCTCACAAGTAGCTATATTTTTTTTCTAAATGTTGTATTAATTGTGCATGGTATGTTTCAGATTTATTTAATTGAAAATGTAAATGTGAAAATATGAATTTTCCCTTCGTACCACTAGAGAGCGCTTGTGTACCACTGGTGGTTTGTGTACCACAGTTTGAGAACCACTGATTTAAACATTAAAAAAAAAGTTTTTGGACTGTGAATACTTCCATCTAATCACATCTAATAAACTGTAATCTGAACTGAACCCAGTTGTACTGCTCAACACCAAAACATACTGAATCATTACCTAACCTCTAATATAATATAATATAAGTATGAAGAAGTACAAACCTAATTAGATTAAAACCATGTGGTCTAGTGGTGAAAGGACCTTCTCTGTTCTCTGGTCCATCCGTTTGAGCTGCTGTATTTCACTCCAACTTTCACGTTGACCTGAATCACAGATGACCTCAGACTTGTGTTTTACTAGTTAAGATTCAAAGTGTTTTTACTTTAGTGAAATCGTTTCAGATTCACGTTACAAACGTCTGTCCTCCTGCTCCTCAGTTACAGTGCATGGTCTCAGAGCTGAAGACGGGTTTCACCAGCGCTCTGCTGGAGCTCAGTCAGATCCAACACGGAGACACGTACCTGAGGGAGGAGCTGGAGGAGAACAGGAGGAGCTGCCAGAAGAAAGCTCTTCGTCTGGAGACTCTGGTGGAGTCGCTGAGAGTGAGGCTCAAAAATAGGAACAGTTGAAAGTGTTTACATTTGGAAAAGTGAAGAAAAACACAACGGGATGAGAGATTATTTCAACATCTAACATTAAGAAAAGAGATGATTATTCTGCTGAAACGACAGTGCATGCTCAGGTGTAGATAATAAAAATTAAATTTAAGAGATGATTATTCTGCTGAAACGACATAATAAAAATTAAATTCAATTTAAATGTATTTGGTTATTCTTACAGGAAGAACTGAGTTTGGTGCAGCATCAGATCCTGCAGCTAAACAGTCGCAGACAGAAACCTCAGCAGCAGGAAAATATAAGTACATCCAAACATAGAGAAAGGTAAAAGAAAAACACACACAATGACACACTCATTGATGGAAAAGCAGGATCAACATCTTTGTGCCATGATGCAAAATTGACAGTATTTTCTATGGACTGTGGTATAAGGACGATCAACTTTTGCACAAAATTCAGATCCTTGTTGCTAACTGTTTTTTACTGAAGAACTATTTCCTCCATAACCACAATATTTTGGTGAGAATGATTACTGTAATACAGCTCTTTAAAAATACTACTGTCTCAAAATGGTCTGTGGTAAAATAAATATTCATTTCTTTGATTACTGTCTTCTGTTGTATCTGTGATGTCAGTAGAACTGCAGACACACATGTTTCCTTCTGTCCACTGTTGTGCAGCGTTGATGCAGCAGAACCATCACAGACTGTGTGCACGTGTCCGTCCACTGTCTCCAGAGGGAAACTGCTCCTGCACTGTTTCCTGCAGGGACTGAAGGCAGGTCTGAGTGAAGGCACAGGTGACTGTACACCACCACACCACGTCACAGTTGCACTCATTTCTGTATCGTCAAAGCCTCATCATTAAAACGAACCTCAAACACTCCGCCTCCTGGACAGATGCTCGTCATCAGGTGGCCATGCAGCTTCTCCACTCAGAGTGGGAGTACGTCTCCACCCTCAACCAGCTGTATGATCAGTACAGGACTCCACCTGCTCATCACATGGCTGTGGAGCCATAGTAAGTCATCAACAAGTCTTTAACTCATTAATTAAATTTACATTTATATGTCTATAAGCTGACTGTAAGAAGAAATCATTACAAGTAGAAAATGTGGAATCATTTTGAGTTTTCTCATTTAATTATTTTGTATTTCCCATCTTTTGAAGTTTCTTCAGCTTTTCTACATGGTGTAGCTGTTGGTTTAGCTAATTTGGCTAAAATGACTGCCATGTTGCTAGTTCTGTTGGCTAAAATTTTGATATTTATATTATAACAACTTCTCCCAAAGTTACAATTTCTTTTAGTTTTAACTAAGTGTGGCTATCTGACTATGTTTTTAAATTGGATAGTCTTCTATGAAGTTTTTCTTCTTTGCTAATTAGCTTTTTTTGACTATATTCTTGGCTACCTGTAAGCTAATTTTTCAACAACATGCCATTACATATAACTGTTATTTGGCAGATCTTTAGCTATTCATATGGCCTATTAATTTCTATTTTCTTTGCTGGATAGCTGTTGCTACATTTCTGGTTAATTTAACAATTAACAACAAAACTTTTGTTATTTCATGACAGCAGACATTTGTGCATTTACAACACGACAACTTCCTGTTCCACTGTTCCTTCCTTACGATACTAAAAATGTGGTCGACTACTTTTCTGGACAATATTCTTTCATTTTTATAGATAATTAAGCATTATTTTTATTGATAATTATGTTTTTATTTGGCTTTTTTTTAAAAGCTTTTCAAAAGCTTTTTTAAAATAATTATGTTTTTATTTGGCTTTTTTTAAAAGCTTTTCACAAACGATCTCATCGAGTTTATTTAAGATCAATCTGTATCCTTTTCCAACTTGCTGCATCAAGAACTTTATTTTTTTTAGTCAGCGGTATCTAAAGTTTGTGGAGCAGCTGCTGCAGCGACACCTGCTGTTCAGAAACACACTGCAGGAGCGACTCTCCGCTGAACACTGGAAATCTCTGGTTGGAGACATCTTGGTGCAGCTCATTGGTCAAAACGATGTAAGTTGGTAAATGTTTTTTTTTTCTTTAGTATTAGCTACAAAGTCTGAAGGTCTGAGATGTTCACCTTGGTGTCCATGTGGTCCAGACAACTTTTGCAGACATGTACCTGGGATACACCACCACTCTGGCCTCCTTCCTCTCACTGGAGTTTAACAGACTGAACCATCCTGAGGAAGAACACAAAGTACAGGTGATATTGACTCTGAAGAATGTGCTGTTCTCATGTCGTTGTCACATAAAGACGACGGACGGACTGATCTGTATCTGTGGTCCACAGATGGACAGAGAGGAAATGAAGCTGCTCTCTCTGCTCTTGGCTCCTGTTTCTCGCATACACAGCTACCTGAGTCACATTCAGGTGAGTTCAGCAACACAAGGGGGCGACACTGCACATCAACAGTCACACATGTGGTGGAGATCGCATCTTATTCAAAGTAAAACCATGGCAAGGCCAGTTTTGGTTAAAATATATGGTCCACGCTGTGGGAAACACGAAAATATGAAATCTTTATTTATATGTTAACATCAGTGACGTAGGACACATTGCATCGTCAGTTGAAGAATGATGGTAAATAATGACATGTTCTGTGTGACATACAACAGGTTGAGCTGGTGATAATAACAACAGGTTTTAGTGTCAAGTATAATGACACTGTGGAGCTCCTTCATAAGAGTCATATCAGAATCATGTTGTCTTCAAGAGAGGACACTGCAGCCCTGACTGACTGTTTGTCCTCCGTGTAGAACCTGTTGCAGTGGACAGGTAAAGAACATCCTGACTGCAGCCTCCTGCTGGGCACTGAGCGAGCGCTGAGGACCGTGTTGTCTCGCTGTCATGTGATTCTGGAGGAGGATGTCAGATGGGAGGAGAGAGAGGCTGCCGGACAAAGGTCAGATCCTGTGGGCACCATCTGTGGACCACAGGGCGAAAGGCAAACAATACAAATTACTAACTACTAAAAATCTTTGAAATTAAAACTAAAAACTTCTTGCATGTCATCGCACAGAGGGGCTCAGCTTCACGGCCAAGACTAGATACACTATAAGCTTCAAATGTTTACTTTCAAACAGAAAAGGCAAGTCCACTTTAAGAAAAAGAAATTAGACAAACCAGATCAAGATGATATGTTTATTTTATATATACTTTTTCTCATTAATCTTTCATATCTCATGTCATATGTCGACTAAAACAAGTTATCATACATCACATATAATATAATATAGTAATAAAAATAAAGTAATAGTTGTACTAATAATATTATAATAATAATAATATACATACAATACCTAGTAGTATTGAGTGTACTAGGGTCACGTTTAACGATGACGTCATCATTTGACAACAATATCTTCTCGACCAGCAGCAGCTGCTCCGACGCTGCAGCAGCTTCGTCATCTGCAAACTGTTGCAGCAGAAACCATCAGAGCAGAGAACCTCAGAGGAACAGGGACGAGACCAAGTCAGCTCACAGGTCAGTACCGCCCTCTGCTGTTCTTATTATCACACAACACCACAACAATAGCGTTAATTCACAAGCGAGGTTTACTCTCAAGAACAAACTGCAGAATTTGTGAAACATGTTTTTGTCTCTGTCCCCCAGATACATCCAGAATGCTGGTCCTCTCACCAACGGTGTGGATGTCCACCAATCCATGCGTCTGGAATGCTGGTCCTGCAGTCCAGTGAGAAGGAAGAGTTCTGGACGAGATTGGACGTCTCTAAACCGACCAGCCCGCGACTGTGGACATGTCTCTTGTTCTGTTCTCACACCGGATGCTGCAGGGTGGACGGAGAACAGTGACTCAGGTCAGGGCACCTTCAGCCAACCCACAGGTAGAAGCACCAACGGGTTGGACGCAGCTTCTTCTGCAACCAACGGCCTCCAGGACTGTGAGACGGACGCTGATGACACTTCAGCCTTCGACTACTCCTCTGTGACCTCCTGCAGCCCTGATGGCACCCTCCGGAGGGACATGACAGGAAGTGTAGAGGAGGATGAAGAAGAAGAGGAGGAGGAGGAGGAGGAGGAAGAAGAAGATGAGGAGGAGGAGGACAGTCAGGTGCCTGTGCTGTTGAAGCCCTCATGCAGTCAGAAACAGCAGCAGCAGCAGTCGTCCAGAGACGCTCCCAGAGAGAGGACAGTGTGTCTAAGGTGGCAGATTCCCAGACTGACTCCTCACCCTCCTCTCAGACCAACTGCTGGTTCCTGTGTGGACAGATCCAAACCATGTCTCATGAGCTCCCATGGGAAGAGGGTGGTCAGTGTCAGGAAAGGCTCGCCGCCTCTTCATCCTAAAAGTGCCTTCAGGCCCATCTGGGACGACCCGTCCAAACAGGTGGGTTGAACCTTCACCAGTCATTCGACTGATTAAATGTAAAGGTCCAAACTGATTCAATCAGATTATTATTACTTGTAAAAAATTATTAATACACATTTGAGTCTGTCAGCCCTGACAGGGTTTTGCATCGCATGCATATATGCAATACAATGGTCCATCATTTCCAAAAATGTGTAAATATGTCAACTAGTGATATCAGCATAATCTATTGAGGAATGTTTAGGTAATGGTTTTTGTCATAATTCACTGACACCATCATTTCTATCTGTGCATTTCCTTGCACAAAGAGAGACTATTAACTTAAAACTTAACTCTTAAACAAGGCAGGATCACTAAGAAAAAGATGCAAACATGCAAAATGAAGAGTTTACTAAAAAAAAAATCAAAACGTTTTGGAAAAAAATATTCTCAAAATGCTCGAGTTTAATGAGAAACATGCAAAAAAAGATACAATTTTGAATTTCTTTTTTCAAAATTTTTAATCATAATTTCTCTATCTAACCAACATGACATGCTAATTTAAGATTTTCCTGTAAAAATTCGAAAAAAAGTTTTCAAAAAAATTTATCAAAATCCTCTAATTTGACGAAAACCATGCAGAAAAGATTAATTAAAAAAAAGAACATGACCAAAAATGAAATGCAAACGGAGGGTTTTACTGAAAACAAATTTCTTGAAAAAATTTAAAATGCTCTAATTTGACGAGAAACATGCAGAAAACATGAAATTTTGAATTTCTTTTTTCAAACATTTTCATGAACACTTTTCAACTTTTGACCGACATGCCATGCGAAATTAAGATTTTACCAAAAATTAAAAAAAAATAAAAATGCTTTAATTTGATGAGAAACATGCAGAAAATGTAAAATTTTGAATTTCTTTTTCCAAACATTTTCATGAAAATTTTTCAACTTTTGACTGGCATCACAAGCGAAAATAGGATTTTCCTAAAAAAAAAAATTCCCAAAAATTTTTCAAAATGCTTTAATTCGATGAGAAACATGCAGAAAACATGAAATTTTGTATTTCTTTTTTTAAACATTTACATGAAAAATTTTCAACTTTTGACTGACATCACAAGCGAAAATAGGATTTTCCTAAAAAAAAAAAAT